TGATGCTCAGTTGAAAGCTGCTAGATAATACATCACGATGGTGGCCACTGCGAGCTCTGACTATCTCTAAGGGTTGCTATACGCCATCCGTAAAACTGAAAGACGTTATATTTCTCTACTCCACACCAACCCGTATCCACGCTGGCGAAGATTACGTGTCAAAAAGTCGATGAAATTACGGTAGGAAATACTGTAGCGCTCTGTTTACTCCTCGGGATTAGTGTCTTCTTACTATCACCTACTTAGGACGCTGAAGCGCCAACTGTACGATAAAAAATCGGACGATCGACGTTGCGTCGAAAAAGAGATTGGTCGCTTGTTTTCAAAGCAATGGCCGGAAAGCAGGAGAGTTGAGAAGCCCGAAAAATGGTACGTCCCCTACACGCTAATGGTGATGATATTGTTCATTTATTTTTCCGTTCAAGAAAAGAATATCCAATCAAAATCAATTCCGTGAGAAGTGTCGCAGGAGATTCCCTGACAACCGGTGACCTCCTAAACGCGGTGGTGAACCTACTAAAAGACTTTGCCGTTTCTGATGCTATTTATGGAGCCCTTGAGCAAAAAAGTACCCACATCGCGGCAAGAACAGGGCACTTTGAGCGCCAAGGATACACATGAAGGCCTGCTGCGAGCACCTGAGTGCTCTCCTTCAGGGATCACTGTGATTCGCCAAGCAACAATGAACCTCATATTTGAACCCTTATCTCCCATCCTCAATTGTGAAATGTGCCTGCAACCACGGGGAGCTTCCCGCTCCTCAAGGCAGAGTAGATGTAAGAAAGGTATTGTCGCTCGAAATCAGCTGTTGCACTAATAAGTCTTGAAAGCAGATCAAGCCAGAGAAAAAAATGAGCATCAGGAAAACTCTAAACTGCGTCTAATAGCAAGCGATCAGTGCAAAAATAGGGTCTAAAAAAGAACAAAAAGTCATGGCGCTATCGCAAAAACGGGACCACTGGGTGGCAAGACGTTTGTAAATTGCGTAAAAATTCCCTTGTCCCGTAATGCGGACCTAACTTTGGGAAGGGAGAAGAAAGACTCCTGAGATGCTTTGAGAGCAATTTTTATTTCTCCAGGAATTAAGCTCTTAGACTTAATCCTGGACGGATGTCCGTCGTGTTTTTCATAGGCCAACGCTCGTCAAAAAGCTCGACTAAGTCTCTCCCTTTGTGATTCATCTGTGGAATCAATGAAACACCGGGTGCCGAAATGAGAGGATGGGCAAGAAAGTGTTAGCGGAAGAGAGTGTGCAGACACCCGCACATTGAGAATAAGGAAAAATGGAA